ACTTTTTCATCTTAGCATACAATCTTGTACCTCTAAATTTTTGAAAGATGTAAAAAATTTAAAGTTTATATTTTTTTCTTAAAATAGATTGAAATATTGTCTAGATAATAAACAAAAAAATAATCTAAAAATTGTCAATAAATATTATTCATTAGATAATAAAAAAGCACTTGATGTATTCATTAATCCAAATGGCATAATACTATATTTAAAATAATTATACTTGATTCAAAATAGTCTTTTATTTATTTATTTTTTTAATATATAGCACATTATATGTTTATTGTAGATCTATTCTTATGTAGATCTTAGCTTCATTCTTTTGATAAAGAAGTCTTAATATTAAAAGTATAAAGTATCTTTTTTTAATAGTAATCTTGTTAAGTCGTCTATAATCCACTAATATTTGCAATGATCCATCTTTTTTCTTTACAAACAAGATAGGCCCTTGTGCTATAGATTTTAAATGACAAAGGAAGTTCTTAGCTAAGTTCCCATCAATATATTTCTTAAGTGGAGGTAATTCATTTTGTGAAAAGCTATAGATTGGTTTAAATAAATAAACTCATTATTAAAGATTAATGGAGCAATCATAAAGATAATGTATTATATATATATATATATATATATATATATATATATATATATATAATTTCTTGATAATTTTAATATTAAATTAGAATCTTGCTTCAAGTCAAAAGATTTCAAATTGATGTAATACAAATATAAAAGGTGAGCTTTTTTTTGCACCTATCAATAAGAAATTGATTTTTCTAGGCTAATTTTTTTTTATTTGATAAAAAAAAGTCTTAATTTATCTAAAATTGATATTATTTTAATTATAATAATTTGATAATCTAAAATAATCTAATAATATTTAATATTAATAAGCTATTATTATTTTTTATTATTATAATTATAGAAATAATTTTATAGATAATATCTCCAAAAGATAATAAATAACCAGCTATGATTTTTATGAGTGTAGATTTAGTTTTTTTTTATTAAAAGTATTTTATATCTTTTCACAAAGTCACTATCTAAACTATAAACTAAGCTCCTATATTTAGTAATGTGAAGGCTTTGTGACTTTTAGATCTAAAATGAATACTTATTGTAAAACAAGAAAAATACTACAAGAAGAAAATATGACCTTTATTAGGTACTATACAAGATTCTAGCCACCTAGTCTCTATAGTAGCTAAATAATTTTTTTTTTCCAACACATAGTCTTCTTTGATAGTCATACTCTTTATTTTGTGCTTATGTTGCTACTTTGTATGATTTTGAACAATGTGCTTAGGTTCTCTACATTATAAGCACAATCCTACTTGACAACATCAAGTCTTTTCTTGCTTATTAAGAGATTTAAAAAATATTCTATTAATTTGCATAACTTCAATTTTTCAATAAATGTGTTGAAAACATGTTGGTGTTGCTATTGAATTGTAAAAAGATTCAAGCCTACTTGTCCAATTCTTAAATTAAAATTCAAAAAAAAAAAAAATCATACTTCATAGCAAAGTCAATTGCATGACTCAATGTTTGAAGACAAGATAAGTTTAGCATCAATTATTTTACATCATATTGTAAGCCTTAGAAAAATTATTTGAAAAATACAACATCATTTTACTTAATATTAATTATAATTTGTCGAAGTTATAAAGTGTATTTATTATTAATAAATTTTTTTAATACAAAATATAAATCTTATTTATATATCACTCAATAATAATTATAATTATATATATATATATATATATATATATATATATATATATATCACTCAAAAAAAAAAAAAGTCTTAAGAATAAAAAAAAGTTCTAAAAACAATATCAATTTATAAGTAGATAATTATAACTTCTAATATATTTATATATTATTAAAAGAAATAAATAATATATTTTCAATAAAACAAAAAAACAAAAAACCAAAAACGAAAACAAAGTTGTGATATTGTAAGTGTATTTTTGTTAATCTTTCAAGAAAAAATATTCAAATAATGTAAATAAAAAAATGAGATATATTTCAAATAAAGATGACTATATATATATATATATAGATAGATAAATATATAGATATATATTTTCAAGAAATAATTGAAATAGCTATTGCTGAAAACTAAAAAAACTATAAACTCTTGAAATTAAACTAAAAGCAAGTAAGAAGTTGATAAGAGTGAAGAAAGCCTCATTCTTATTTTTATATATACTATCTAACTAGAAGTTACATTCACATATTTCACTTGCAGAATATATAATTAACTTCTAAGGCAAGTATTCTATATGTGCACTACATTGTCAACTTATATTTCAAGTGGTTAATATGTGCAACACGTCACAAACATGTTGGCTAAGTTTTCTAGGTAAAAAATTGATATTTTTCATGTGTTTCTTGACCTTATTACAAACATTTTAAACTTTCAATATATGTTATAATGTGGTGATTTCTAATATTACAAGATTCAACTAAAAAACACTTACAACATAAAAGAAGATTGTTATAGTTTAGTATGATTTTTTTTTTTTTTTTTTTCTTTTTCTTTTTCTATAATAAAATTTTTTACTGTCACAAATAATTTTTAAAATTTTTTAGATTCTAAAATGAATTAGATGCAAGATTCAAAAAAAAATTTACTATCAATTTTTTTTTATCTATTTAAAAATGATGTCTCATTTTTCTTATCTTATCTTTTGCTAATTAATATAAAAATTAATCTTGAAAAACTTTGACTTTTAATGATTATATGTAGTAGCTATATGGATATCTTTGAATATCTTTAACTTAATGTTCTTGTTATTAACATTAATTTTGTACAAATTAGTGTGTATCAAGAATCCTATGTAATTATATGCAATCTTGTTGCCAAGTCTTTTTTCTAATAATGACTTAAGCAAGATTGATTTGGATTCTTTAAAAAACTTGTCATTAAATAATGTAAATTTCTATTATAGTCTCATATTGCTCAAAACAAAGAAAGTTGTTAAGTTACTTTAATAATATTTGAAGCATTAATCATTAAATATAATAGTATTTGAAGCATAGATGTCTTCATATGATTTGCTTACAATTAAATTATTGGCACCTTATTTATAACTCTAACTCCACTACTTCTTTCATTGATTAATCCACCACAAATCAATAATCTCCATTAATTAATCAAAATTTAGAAATTGACTTCACTCTATGATGTTTAATTAATAACATCTAATTTCTATTAATTAATTGATTACCATTGACTTCCATTAATTAATAGAAGTAAATAATGAAGGCTATGTGGCCAAAAGAGCTATATGGCTATACAAGATTGGATGAAGCAAGGCCACATAGCTAATAGACCCACGTGGCTATACATGATTAGGTGAAGAAAGACTACATACCCACCATACTAGAAATAACCAACCTAGTTTATGGAGCCTTCCCAAGGATTATTTTCATCCTATCTTCAACAAGCCACTTTTGATGATTGAAAACCCTTGATAATTAATATTTTTCTTGCAACATACAATATTGATTCATGGAAGGAACAATGTATAATATCTTATATGAATGCAATCTCTAAGATTAATTACAAGAGCCAACTTTAGTCTTGTCTCTATCTAAGAAGATCCTTTTCTTTTCTTTTCTTTTGGTCTTTTGATGTACATTTTTGAATTTTTTTTAGATCTTTTACAAATTTGCATCTTAATCCTAATTCCATATTATTTTGTATTCATTTATTAATTTACATTCATGTTGTAAAAGTATTTGCAACAAAGTCTTGTAAGATGCTATTGTAATTGTGTTTTTGCTTTTAAAATAATTTGATTTAGAACAGTTTAAACAAATAATGTTTATTTTAGACAAATGCTATAGTCAAGGATTTTAAATATAAAAGAATGCAAATTCATCATCACATTTCTTGCCGTCAATTAGATGAAATGATTAAATATTAAGTTTGAAAAGATTGAAAGAAAATTAGAAAATATTTTGTAGTAGCATCTTTAATATATGTTATTGTAAACATACTAGATAACTTTAAATATTAAATGAGTATAACAAACCAACATATGTAAAGAATAGACTATAATATATACAATAATGGAGAGAATAATATAATATTTAAATTGTTCTTTAAAATTCAAAGTATACATTTAAAATGTAAATATTTAAAAGATGAACTTTTGCAATAGAGATTAAATTAAAATGTAAACAATTGCAAGCCCACAATAAAACATATATTTTGTTTTAAAATACCTACTATGAAGTAAAATCATAATTGATTGATTGTAGAACTTTTAAGCAGAGAAATAAAAGTACATGACAACTAACCAATGTATAATTTGACCAATCTGGTTAACCCAATAAATAACAAACATTTTATTTTTACAAATGAGGCTCTTGTTAATCATAATAATCAGTGAAATGTTACATTTGTAATCATTAAAAATAAAAATAAAATTGAAATATCATGTATGTGAAAAGACACATTGACATCTAGTAAATTCTTTGTAAAAGGCTAAGAAAATAGAATAATGTGTTAAACATCTTATGCATCAAAATATATGATGTCCAACACACTTTGCTTAAAGTAGTTAAGAGCATTGTTGTTGAATGTTTGAAAATCTGAAAGGTTTTGAAATCATATTCTTTCATCAGAGTCAGAAATCATAAACAATAGAGATTTGTATGAGAGATCAAATGCTTTCATCTAAGTTAGAAATCAAGAACAATAGAAAATTGTATGAGAGACGAAATTTCCCACAGAAAGTTGTTTATATTGCCTATGCATTGTCGTTAAAACAAACAACTTCAGGATCTGGTGAAGTAACAATTTTTTTCGCTGTCAAATGGGGTTTATTGTGAGTTTGATCAATAATATTCAATCAAGACTAAAAGTGGAATAATGCAGCCTGACCAAGGTAGTGGACGTAATCCTTCATCGTCACATCAGAACGTCATTCATAGTCCAACCAACGTACAATGTAATCAAACAGGATGAATACACAAGGACTATGCAATGGTTAAAACAGCTGACGATGTTAAAAATGTGGTGTACTGTCTGATTGATTACAACTGGGATAACCCCGAGTCACCACATAGAATAAGAAGCCTTGCCCATTAATCAGGTGCAAACAATGTACAGTAGGACTGAAACAGAAAAACTCCCGGTCGCACACATTGACACAATTCTTCATCCAGTAGCAATTTGACGGTATCAAAACGTTCTTGCGTATGAACTGCTCTGCCCACTTCAGTGGCCTTGAAAACCTTGAAAATTACACCGACATCCACCATTGATAACAATCATGGGAGCAAAACTTAGATAGGCTTAATCTTGAAATGCAGACCGATGAGCGAAAAAACGAAGCATTTCAAGTCCTGCAAAATAGTAGTGCCAAAATAGCAGCGTTAAAAGGCAATCATTGGCTTACACAGGCTCTAACCCAACGCACAACACCTCTACCTTGGATTACTTCAAGTAAATTTCAAGCAAAGGACCTCCAGGTGTTAAAAGGGATACCCTAAAGTTGAAGCCACGTTGAAGTCCAGCACAGAGAGGTAACACAATTCTTCAATAAACGTACCTGGACAAGATAGTAAAAAATCCGAAGACCTTCAGGATCCTTGCTGCTCTGTACATCAAGAAGGGAACCAATTTTTGATGTAGTGAAGGATATATGCTCGTTTCCCATCACAATCTCGAGCTCCTGTCGTCCAATTCTATCAGGTTCTGGCCAGTTGTTATCATCTTCTTTCAATATCTGAAAAATCCAAGAAAGAGCAGTTAGAGTAAGGTTCATCCACTAAGATAAGTAAAGCCGTGTTCTAATCAGTGACATTGTATTCTTCATTACTAAACAACCTCGCTTCCAAAAAGATCCAGGATTGAACATCAGAGTGATCAGATAACAGGGGACCCAAATGGTCGACTACCTAACAATTGCCAAGTTGCTAACATGCTTCCAGCATTTCACTATGCCCACTTGAGAAAGAACCAAAACTGAATAAGCTAACATAGAGAGTCCCAAGGTTCAAGCAAAGCCCAAGACAATGGGAGCACAGGGTTGCGAGTGATCAGCCCGACACATTGCAAAATATAATCCACATGGCTTATATCAAAGAGCTCCAAGGAGATAGAAGGGGAAAAACCCAGCGCGCAAGAACAGCGAACTATTCCCAAACCCTAAACTGACATGTACTACCCTAACCATGCCTTGAAATGTACATAGCCTCAAAGAATAATGAAAAAAAAAAAAAAAAAAAAAAAAAAAATGTAGCAAGGGACACTTGCCTCGCTATCAGTAATAATGCGTCGGCACTCCTTGAGCGCGGCCTGGGTAAGAAAGACCTCCTTGCGAATCATGGTGTCGTTTTTGTAGTTGGAGTTGTTGGCGTAGCGGAGCTTGCCATCGGGACGGAACTCGAACTCCAGAAATTCGTGACCGAACTTGCCCTTATGGCCAACGTAGTAACGCACATAGAACTCGCCAAGCTCCTCGGCGTGCACTGAAGCCATCGCTGCCTCCCGCTCCAAAACTGCCCACCGACACAACAATCGGTTGAGGTGGAGAGAGAGAGAGAGAGAGAGAGAGAGAAAGAGAAAAACAGGGTTGACGATGTCTGTGCTTGTTAGGGTTACCATACCCGGACCTCGGTGCAACGCGATATCCTTTCAATACCCTGGAAGTGGGTGTAATATGATAACTTCGAATACCCGGCCACTTCTCGAGTTGAGTGGCCTTTCACTTTTAGACAGGGTTCGATGCTCTTTGGAAGTTCCAGCAACAAGTAACAGAATACAAATTTTGTTGTGCCAAATCAATTCTGGTTTTGTAAAAATCTTTAAATCTTGACCTAGAAATGTGGCAAACTATGTTTTTAATCGAGACCATCAATTGACACTTTCGGCACGAAGACTACTTCGTTACTAAAGCAACGGTTGCAGTTCACGAACACTTGCCGATATACTTGAAGGTGATTAAGTCTTTTCGTGTCATTTGAACTTGTCTTTTTTGCGGACATTACTAATATTTAATTTTTGTGTTCATCGTGCAGACTTGAATAATTGTATTTTTGCAAGGAAAACTTACGAAGTCTGCTATAAGAAAGCGTTAAGTGAGGTAGAATTCAAATAAGCGACTGAAGTTCCGTCGACATGAATAAGAAAAATCAGGGCATGAGAGTTGGGAAATCTGAACTTGGTAGATCTCTTGGAGCAGTTACTTTCGCCAAAATCAAGTTTGCAAAGAATTTGGAGACTAGCCAAAGTGTAGCCATCAAAGTTCTGGATAAGGACAAGATCCTCAAACATAAGATGGTTCAGCAGGTAGTCCAAAATCGTGCCAATTCAATACAAACCCAATCCAGATTATTTATTCCTTGATCACGATCAGGTGATTTTGCAGAAAGATTGTAGCCAGTCGCATTCATGCGATTTGCCTCCAAGCCGGGACTCCATCGATGGTCAGGCGGGAGGAGTTCATGCTGCTTCAAATTAGTCTGGAATACTCAACCTGGTTCTTAAGTTGCCCCGTCATCAAGAATTTGTAACATTAGTACTAAAGATGATGTTCTTCATTCGACATATATGGGGAATTTCAAGAGAATATTCTTTGGATTTGCAGATTAAAAGAGAAATATCCATGATGAAGCTAGTGAAGCACCCGTATATTGTGCAACTTCTTGGGGTTGGTATTTCACCAAACTTGGTTGTTCCAAGATATTGTGTTTACTCGCCTTAACGATATCTTTTGCATGTAATTGACGATGGGCTGTGGAAACTGTCAGTACTAACGTTAATTTTGTATTAGAGGTGCCTTAGGTTCTAGAATGTGATTATTTAATATTTGGGATGTTTTATCGTGTCATTTCATGGCTAGCAAATCAAAAATCTACATTGTGCTAGAGTATGTGACTGGCGGCGAGCTTTTTGATAAAATTGTAAGTACATAGTCCGTTCCAACTCAGGCGGCGTTCTTTTGCCTGCGAACTGTTCGCAAGCAGCAAATCTTAACTATCAGCTGATACACGTATCGATTGTTGGTGTTACCAGGTTCATCAGAAGCGACTCAAAGCAGATGAAGCAAGGAACAAACGAGATACGAAGAGTCAGAAATCCCAATCGACTACATGCAGAAATCGGAACAAATATGCTTTGAGCTGTTTTGTAGACTATGACCTTCAACAATATTGACATAAATCTTTTACATTCGCGGATAAACCGAGCACTGTATTCTAGCCCTTCCTTTCTCTCATCTGGCGCTAGGAGAATGATAAAGGGACCCTAATCTTAAAACTGTAAGTGACGGGTCATTATTTTGTGAAACCAAGATGTTTTGTCGTTTGAAAGCTGCCGTCAATGACTTGGATTGTCGTATCATATCCTACTGATACATATGCCTCGCGCATTCTGACAAACTAGCATGTGCATATCTTCTCGCAGCGTATCCCAGCTGAAAAAATTTACCAAAACTTTTGGTTTAAGAACGGATATTCTCCTCCTAAGTTTGAGAGGGACTTGGATATCAACCTCGACGATATTGATGCTGTATTCAGTGAGTCCACAGTAAGCTCGAATAATCGTAAATCACATGCACCACCTACTATAAGCCAATGTGTGTTACGATATGGTAGTCCCTTGTAAGAAATCAGTGAGGGTGTTTCATTTTGCAAGTGCATGCAAAGTGTTCTAAAGTTCCGTCGTTATGATAGATAGTTCAAAACTAAAGCATCGATTGTAATCCTGTTGGACTTGGGAGCAATGACCTTTCTGGGAGCTTGAGGTTCACGCTACTTCGGCTGGAGGATTATATGGTCACTCAGGAGAAGGATATTTAGCCACCGGCAGTGAATGCATTTGAGCTCATCTCTCTCTCTCGTGGACTTAATCTCTCTGGCTTATTTGAAACACAAAGCCAGGTAAGCTACCCCCTACTTTTGATTTGTGTTATGCGCTTCTTGAATGCCTCTGAATATTGACACCGTTATTTGGAGGTTTCGATGCAATTTTTCTAAAATTGTAGTGCAGAAATTTGGGATGGTATCAATTGAATTTTTTGATATTTTCAGATGAATCCACGAATCCACTTTCGCAGGATCTTAGTCAATAGATCGAGTAAAGATTCACGAGCACATAGCCTGCTAATGAGATTATTAGCACCATTGAGAAAGATGCTAAGCATTTTGCCTTCAATGTACAGAAAAGGGATTACAAGATGAAGTTGCAAGCAGACAAGTACGGCAGAAAGGGCCATCTTTCAGTGGTTACGTAGGTTGGTTTAGTACTAATGGAAAAACTAATACGTTGAATTCTGAAAAGTTAGGTTTTTTGCATTGGAACACAACGTGATGAGTAGTAAGGATTAATTTTTTCACAGAGGAATTGCCGCATTATATCAATGCTAAAATCATAAAGTATCTAGTGGTGGGTGACTCATAGATGTCTGCAGGTTTTGCCCCCCCCTTTTGCTCCAACACATTCTTGTTTGTAATGTGAATGAAGTCCCATTTTTGTAACATGATATTAGAGCCCTAGATAAACAAGAGTTATGGATGAAAATTATTGGATGTAAAATATGGATGATTTTTAAAGATAAATTGTTCTTGTCTTGCTGCTCCTAGAGTCTTGTAATTACGTTGTTGCTAGAGCCTAGCCTTATGATTGTTGCTTTCGGTTTTGACTTCCTCTTGAGTTAATCTCCTATTTCTTTTGGCTAAAACCTACAAGTCCTCAAGAGTTATTATTGAGATATTTTTTTATGAATAAACTTCATAATCTTTCATACATTGATAAAAAATCTATAAAGAGTTTTTTTAGAGAAATTTTTGAGCTTAAGAATCAATATATTAAATTTGGTGGTAATATAAATAAACAAAGCATGGCATTTCTTTCACCTCTTGCATTGACGTAATAATGGAATTTGCTTGTTTAATCAATTGCAATGACAAAATAAAAAGAAATCACAAAAGAAATAGTACAATCTATATTTCTTAAAAGAGAGATGCAAAAAAAAGAGAAGATTAATTTTCTATTTTCAACCTTAATAGTGCATATAAAAAAAAAAAAAAGTCTTAAAGAAACACCATATAAAAAAAATAGTTGCTTAAGATTCATAAGTCCAATACAAAGTTGTAACTGTCAAGAGAGTATTTTGTACTCTAAGAATCCAAATTTTGGATTATTCTCATGGATATATATATTTATTCTAATAATTACAAATATGACTAAATTAAAGTAAATAAATATAGATTAATTTTATAATATCTTTTAGAAAATCTTTGTAAAAGCTTTATAGATATGATTTTTACTTTTCATGTGATTTAAGTTGATTGATAGATTAAAAACTTGGTCAATAACTTAATCTCGTGTCACATATATTAATAGCTTATGGAACAAGGTAATTATATGATACATATATAGATAACTTGTCTTGCAAGTTAAATTTGTATCTATCAAAGTCAACATGTATTGGAGTTCCCATAGAATATTGCCATGTAGCTCCTAATTAGATAGAATATATGGAAGCAAGAGTGAAGCATTCTTTACTCTTATCAACATCTTTTTAGTCTTTAGTCTTGTTTCAAGATATTCTAGTCTTCTTATCTATGGTAATAGCAATTTTAGTTCAATAGTATCATCTTTGAGTGATTTCCTAGTCTTTTGGAATGACTTAAGAGTATATTGAGATTTTCTTTGAATTTAATATCCTTGATAATTTAATAAGAGTGATAATTTATTGTTCTTGACTTGTTTTAGAAATAAGAGGATTATTCTATTTTTATTATTATATTTTAGAGATTGTCAATTATTAACCTTTAAACAAACTATTTAGTTTTTTAATACTAATTTTTTTTTTCTTAATGAGAGCGGATTATCTTTCTTTGTAAAAACTTTTATTTGATATTAGAGATTGAAGATTACCCTCTTTTAAATTAATTTGTAGATTTTTTAAATTATTTGAAATAAGAGAAAAAATCATAGATGCTATACTTGATGGAAGTAAAAATACATTTGTAACTATTGCAAATCTTTACAAATTTATTAACACTCTTAAGGAAGAAATTTTATGCATCACCAATGCTAACTACAGAAATATTAATCTTATGCCTATATAAAAGTTCAAAGTCTATGTCAAGAAATTATGTAGTTGAAAGAAACAAGTAGATTGACCTCACGACCAAATCTAAGAAGTTTTGCTTCTAGAAGTATAATAAGGATAAGAATTAATATGCTTGAGAAGTTTAATGGAACAAGATCAAAATTTTGAAGATTTTTGCAACAACTTAAGCTCTATCTAAGATTGGATGTCTTCTAATACTTTGATAGATTTACTCAAGTTGGATTCATAGGTACACTTTTATCTAGAAGTGCTTTCTCTTGGTTTCTACCTTTGATGGAAAAAATTCACAATTTTTTTATGATTTAAATTTATTTCTAAAAATATTTATGATTACATTTAAAAAAAGTGATTGAAAAAGAATAGCATAGATCAATCTCATATGTTTATAATAAGCATCAAAATTAGCTACCATATATGTTGCTGAATTCCAAAATCTTATTTGCGATGCGTACTAGAATCATAAAGTTCTTGTCAATCAATTTTGATATGAATTGAAAGATAACATCTAAATGGAAAATAACAAAATTATGAAAAAATTTACAAAAAATATCATTTTTGAATCATTGAAAAGTGGCCAATGTGTTTATGTGTCACGGACCAAAAATACAAACAAGAAATCTAAACAAGAAGTTCAAGAAGAAATGACAAGAACTAGATTATCAGATGAGTACAAGAGCAACGCCAAGAGAATTGAGCTAGAGCTTTAAGAGATGTGTTGTCGAGACTGAAGAACTCTTCAGCCTCGACTCCTATATATACTACTGGCCTATGGTTCTAAGGAAGCGCATCAAGAAGCTTCCCAAGAACTATGAAGCTTCTCGAGCAACTACCCAAGAGCTAGGAAGCTTCTCAAGTAACTTCCTAGAATCTACTAGAATATTCTAAGTATCTTCTAGAGCCTTCTAAAGGAATCTTTAGGGAATCTTTAGGGAATCTTTAAAGAATATTCTAAGAGAATATTCAAGGAATCTTCTGGAAGTTTCTAGAGACTTCTTTCTAGAAGGTTCTAGAAACTTGTCTCTAGAAAGGTCTAAGGACTATGTCCCTAACATCACTTCCTCCTTTAGCTTCGAGGTCTCTGAGAAGTAATGTTATCGTCAGTCAATACCAACGCAAGAAAATGAAGATCTGTCGCATAACCTCTGCTATGAACTCCAATTGTTGTTCACGAGGCAAGTGATTCAATGGTCCTTGAAGCCAACGGTAGTGGCCCACGCCTTCAACTTCTGACCAAGCATGAACCTCCGTTTCTTCATTGTGAAATTGTCCTGCAAACACTCCTTCTGGCTGACCATTGTAGGCAGGCTCGACCTCAAATACAATCACCAGCGATTTGTTGCTCGGAATCCTTCGACGTCGTCGTGGTGCAAGCGGTTCTTCATCTCGCAGTCGTCTTCGTGAGCTAGTTGCTTGAGATGACATGACAAGTGTAGTATCTTGGCTATCCATATTCAAAGGCTAAAACAATAAGAACAAACTTGGGCTACTAACAAAGTTCTACGCTATCTTGGAGAGAATGACTACATCAACTATGGATTTTGGTGGTGCTCTCTCCTCTTTTCTGTTTTCTGGATGAACAAGCTTCAGTAAGAAGCTATCGTCGAACCGGCTTGGGTTTCTCAGGATATCGTCGATGAAAATCCTGTACCTTTTGCGGTGCATTTGCGAGATTTTCGGCCGGCTCCCATGTTCGTTCATTAATATCGTAACCGCTCCAATGCACAAAGTATTCTAATTTACCCCGTCTTTGCCGTGAATCCAGGACCTTTTCCACCTCGTATTCTTCGTGGTTCTCTATTTCTATGCTAGGTGGTGGACATTGTACTCTTCCAGGAAAAGACGATTCTCGATAAGGCTCCAACAAAGAAACATGAAAGACAGGATGTAACTTCATAGTAGCTGGTAACTCCAGACGATACGCTACAGGATTGATCTGCTTCTGGATAACAAATGGTCCCAATCTCCGATAGTCCAATTTGTCACATGGCCGCTTGGTCTTAATATTTCGTCGAAGCAGCCAAACTTTGTCTCCAATCGTGAATTTAGGTGCATGATTTCGAAATTTGTCCGCGGACGCCTTGTAAGATTCTTGGGCAGTTTGCAATTGAAGCTTCAATGTAGTTTGAAGCTGTGAAAGCTCCTTCACCAATCCTTCAGCTGCCGGATTGTTAATCGTTGACGAACTCCATAAGTCAAGCTTCGAATGGTATCCATAATTGGAAAAGAATGGCGTTTGTTGAGTTGACGCATGAAGGGTGTTGTTATATGCGAACTCGGCTAGCAGTAGATATGCGATCCAATCATCTTGTTCATAGTTGATGGTGCAACGTAAATATTGCTCTAAAACTTGATTCACCTGTTCTGTTTGGCCGTCCGTTTGAGGATGAAATGCCGAAGAAAGCTTGATATCCATCTTCAATATTTCAAAAAGAGATTTCCAAAACTTTGACACAAACTAGGTTCCTCGATTCGATACGATATCATCTGGTAGACCATGATATCGATACACATTATCAAGAAAGAGTCTTGCTGTATCTTCGCTTGACGATGTCTTCTTGCAAGGGACAAAATGCGCCATCTTTGTAAGCCGGTCTACGACAACAAAAATACTGTCAAATGAATTCGATGGTGGTAGATCCATAATAAAGTCTATGGAAACCGAAGACCATGGTCGGCGCGGAATAGGCAATGGCTGTAGAAGTCCATAAGCCGATGTCGAGGATTTTTGGATCTTGAACAAATGTCACAAGATACAACAAAATCTTTCACATCCTTCCACATTTGAGGCCACCAGAAATCGCGGGAAATAAGTTCCAAGGTCTTATTGAATCCAAAATGTCCCGCAGTTGGAAAGTCATGACGAGATTGAAGAACTCGGAGTCGTGTTGGCCCTTTTGGGATATACAACCGCTCTTCGAAATATACTAGATCTCCTTCCATCTTGAATTTATCATCACTAGCATGTTGCTTGATATCAAGGGCTAGAGAATCTTCAATGGTTGCGGCCCGTACCTGGTCGAGGAAGTCAGCATCAATTAGTACAATAACTACGTTGAGCCGAAATTTCTCTGGCTTCAACAATGTCGTGCACTATTGATCAAATGCTGCATCTCCAGCCTTTGGCGCGAGATATGATCTCCTTGATAATGCATCGGACAACCCTTGTTGCTTCCCAGGCCGATAAGTAATAACAAAGTCGAACCTGGATAGCGACATACTCCACCGAGCTTGACGCCGATTCAAAACTCGAGCCGACATAAAATATTCCAAATTCTTGTGATCCGTATACACGGTCACTGGATGTGCAGTTCCTTCAAGAAAATGGCGCCACTCTTGGAAAGAATCTACTATAGCAAGGAGTTCCTTATCATGGATCTCATAGTTGATCTCAGCAGCAGAGAATTTTCGAGAATAGAA